CACCAAAAAAACACTACTCATAAGAATTCTCCAGATCTTCATGCCGACCTGAGGCTCCAGGGGCTCAAGGGGCAGAGCAACCACTTCTCGCAATTTGAGCTATAGTCGAAACTCCTGAGAAGGGGTGATATGGGGGATGTTATAGGGATCCCAGTGTAGGGCTCACAAGTTTAGACTATAGCTCATTTGGGGGGATCCCATTTTAGGGCTTATTAAGGGGTGATATTAGGAGTTTAGACTATAGCTCTTTTGGGATTTCGGGGCGCCTTGCAAGATGTTCGGATCAGTCGCGGGGTCTAGGGTGAGTTGGTTTAGGTACGCCCTCTGCATGACGCTCAGTGCCCGGTGTACGTCCATGTTGCAGGGTTCATTTACACCTGACCCTCTCTGGAGTACAGCTGTATTCCGTCGGCGTAGAATCAGAAGGCCTAAGCCTAAAGCATAATTGAACTCAGCCTTAGATTGTAAACACGCACTACAAGCCTACATGACCCGGGAGTGGGGGCGGGGTATGACCGTAAATCCCTTTATGCGCAGGGCATGCGGGAAGAGCCTGCGCAGCAGGTGGAGGAGGAGCAGGAGGCAGGGGCGCTTCATTTATGAGGGCTTTTCTGGGGGTTTGATCCTTCAAGCAACGAGATGGTCATGTGCTGTTCTTTAAGGGACGTGTGGCGTAAGCTCTTTGAGTGCAGTTTGTATTGCTTCAGGATGTGAAGCTTCAGGCTGCAGGTTTTCATTGGCAGGAACAGCAACTGGGAAGGGGTCTGCGTTGGGGAGCAAGTCTGCAGTTGTAACCCCAGGATGGAGGGCATTTCTGCTTGAACGCCTGCATTTGACCCTGCACGGCCCGAAACCCTAAAACCCTGTAGGGTTAAGGGTTTGGGGGCCTCAGGGTGTACTTGGGGGGTTAGTAAGTATACTTATAACCCTTATAAGCCATATAATAACCGCAGTGATCCCCATCATTAACCCAGTTACTAAGCCCCCATGACCCTCCGCGTCAGGGTACCTGGAATCTGAGCCCTTGTATCTATGCTTGCATGCGCAGGATCCGGAACAGGTGGATCGTCAGCAGGAGGAGGCTGAAGATGCGCCTGAGGCCAGATCAGGGTTTCAGGCTCGGGGGGTCCAGTGATTCGGGTTATATGGGGATAATGGAAACTACTATGGTATATTAAGGTTATACAGGGATAATGGAAAAGAATATGGAGACTGCTATAGTATATTAAGGTTATACAGGGATAATGGAAAATAATATTGAAACTACTACCGTTTAGGGAGTAAAGGCTTCGAGTTTATTGAATCAGGGTTTGGAGTTGGGGGGTCAGGGTTTAGGGATTAATGTTCCTGCTCTGATGGTAGAACAAGCTTTCGGGACTAGGGCTCCAAGTTCAAACTCTTTAGGGTTTGGGGTTTTAGGGTTTTAGGGTTTAAGGTTTAGGGTTTACCATTTCAAAGGTACTTGTCGGTATGATGATCTTTGTCTAGAGTCTAGAGGCCTGCTCTCAAAGCCTGAATCTTTTGCGGAGAAGTGATGTAGGGACCTCATTCGCGTGAGCCACGGCAGACAACTTCTTGATGTTTGTACCTCGTAAAAGGCAGGGGCCTACAGGCACATGAGCTGTAGTTTAAACTCCTTAAAGTGGGCTTTATAGGGGAGTATATAGGGGAGTACTCCAGGGGTTTCTAGGAGTTAGACTATGGCCCATATGCAGGAGCATGTTTATGACAGGCCTTACTAGGTCGGGAGATTTAAGCCAACGCGCGTGCGGCTGTACGTTCAATGTGTAGGGAGAGCATTTTCGTCATCTCGCATGTCCGCGTCCCTGTCAGATCACTTTACTAGAACGGGCATATGGTAGGTTCCCAAAATAACGGCGCGCCAATATAGTCCACCAAATACTACGATCCCTGTTATGGGGACTCCCAAAACAGTACCCCTAATCTAGGAAAACCTCCATATCTAGCCATCGATTGCAACATCATGACCCAAAGATGTCCCATGGTGAGGAGATGGAGGATGACGAGTATCCTCCGCAGGAAGATGAGGAGGAAGCATACCAGGAGGTAGATTTACGGGCTTTGAGTTTTTGGTTGCCACGGGTTTCGAGGTGGAAGGCAGGTCTGAGATCTTGTGGCTTTTGTCCCTGCAGGCTACCAGTCCCTCAAGAGCATACTTGCATGCTTATGAGGCTACCAGCGGGCCTTTGAATCAGGATACTTACAATTTTGATATAGTAGCTTCCATTTTATTTTCCATTATCCCTATATAACCTCTATGTTACTCCTACATACCCCCAAGCCCTAAACCCTCAACCCTGATCCGCCACCGGCTTAGTTTGCGTGTTTGGTTCGAGGCTGAGGTTTTGATTGCGGGGATTTTTTGGCAGAGAATTTAGGGTTTAGGGTTTAGGATTTGGCAGGTTCCGGATCCGGACAGACCTCTCATGTTCTCCGACGGTGTAATATCTGTTGGGCAGTGCGTCCGCCTTCTTCAAGTTGGATTGCAAGAGCCTTGACAGGGGTTATAGCTACAGCTATCCTTGTTTTAGCCCTACTTAGAACCACCCACGCACCCTGAAGTGGTGAATGCCTAGGAACACTGGTCATGGAAAGCCTTACCTGCTTCTGTTTGGGCTCTATGTCAGGATTGCTCAAAAAGATGTGGGCCTCTCTGTTGGGCCGTATATCTACAGAGGAACCTATGACTTTGGAGGTGTATGCTAGAAGAGGACCCTATCCGACCCAAGGAATTGTGGTAATCTCTTCATACTACTCCAAAACGCATCAAACTTCACTCAGAAGAGACCTCACATGTTGCTGGACATCGCTAAGCTTACGGTTGGGGGGGTTTAAGATGAGTTTGAAGGGGCTGTCCGCTCTTTCGAACCATGCAGCATACAGCCCATCAGCAGAAAGTCCAAGGATCCTTGAACCTACCAGAGTTACCGTCAGCGCTGCACTCAAAGCGCATTGTTGAATACAATTGCGCATACCAATGATGTGGAACCAGCCCCTCAGCGCAGCGAGCCAAAACACCGTGTTGTTGTGTGCGCCACTGATGACATGAATAGCCCGGCGACAGCTTTCATTAGGCTTTAGCGTTTGGAAGCGCAACCCTGTTCCTATAGCTTTCTTGAAGCCCTGAATCCCAAAGGGGGTGTTTTCAAAAGTTCAGGACCCAAGGCTAGATTTTTTTGGTTCTATATCTTGGAGGAACATATACGGGGATTCTTCAGTCTTTTCGGAAACACCCAAGTCTCAAGTCTTTGAGGCCGTGCCGCCAAGGTGTTGTATCAAGGCCTCTCACAGGAATGCATGACTGGCATCCCTGCACCTAAGGCGCAACCCTCGATACCCAAAACCCACACCCCACTTGGAGTGTCCGGGGGACTTGGTAAGTAGGTCTATAACGGGGATAAGTAGGGTTACGATATGGGTTATAGGGCGTATTAATCTACTTGCTAAGTCTCCCAGACCCTCCAAGCACACTCACCTAAGCTTTGTGGGATTGGAAGATGTTGGGCCTCTATGGATTCCATCAATATGTTATAGTCCTGGTTCTATGCATGACATGTTCTAGTACCAAACATTCAGAGCCTGTTTTCAACCACCACAAGCCCTAAAACCAGTAGATGCCGTTGGCTGCAGGTAGAGCCCGTCGCGGAGGAGCGAGACGAGGAAGCGGTGCCCTCCCCGAAGGCGATTCTTCTTAGGGAATGGGAGGTTAAGGGTTTAGGGTTTAGCATTTCAGGCGTGACTTTTTTGAAGCCCAACTCCCCAAGCTTAGGACCCCATTCTATAATAGCTATAGGGTCCTACTTCGGCAGTTGGGGTTACCAGAAACCTCTTATCATCAACCGTAAGCCCCTAACCTAGACTGTCTGAATTTCTTGGGGTCCGTTTCCAGAAGATGTAAGCTTTTGACTTTGGGCTTGTCATAGGGGACCCAACATGGACTGGATCCCTAAAACCTGAACCCTAACGAGAAAACCCAGGAGCGCTTCATCCAAGGATGCGTTAACCGGAAACCGGGACCCTTGAAGCAGTTGCGTACTGTTCTTACAGGGGCCCATTCAGAATTGAAGTTTCTAGGGTTTAGGGTTTATAGTCCCCCTTAAGTAGATTGAATATGGCTTTGGGTATATTATAATAAGATCCCCACATACCCCATCTTCTTAAGGGGGACTAAAGGGATTTGGGTTTGATGGTCAGGGATCAAGGTTTTTGGGACGCATTTTGAGGTGTTTGGCGTTCAGGGCCGTGCTTGGGATGACTTGGGTTGTTGTCACAATTATGGCCCCCTTGTGGGTATGGATTACATTACGGCACCTAATATGTAAGGGTGCCAAGATGGGACCCAATTTTGGGAACTACGCTGTTCTTGGGACAATGGTCTGTTGGTATCCTGAGTATTAATTTGGTTTTCTTCGGTACCTTCTGCGAGGTGTCTAAAGTTGGAAGCCTTGAAGCCCCACACCCGAATTTGACTAGAATCGTAGGATTACTGCAGCTTAGGGTTGAGGATGATGAGTCTAAAGATGGAAAGAACCCCAAAAGGGAGGAGGGAGGAACCATGAGGGAAGCCTAAACGCCTTGAAATTCCGAAGCCTTAGCTCCTCGAACTCTGATGCCTCTAGGGTTTAGGGTTTAGGGTGGGCTTAGAACACTACTTGCTCTATCATAAAGCACGCAGCGTTACTCGCAGGAGTACTTATACCTGAAAGGGGATCCTTTTTTTCCCTTCAAGCTCCGCGTTGCAACTTCACGTGGAACCCCAAATCAATTCTAAACCCTAGTTAAACCCTAGTCTAATCCCTTGACTTGAGCTCTGCCCAATTCCTAAATCTCAAGCTGTTTTTGTTATGTCGGAACCCCGAGATCCTGAACTAACGATGGCACGACAGGCGGTCTTGCAGAGCCATCGGGACGCAGTGCTCAAAGACGCAGGGGGCCCTAGCGGACCCGCTACTGTTCGGGGTTTAGGGTTTAGAGTTGAGGGTCCAGGGTTCAGGGTTTCGGGGTTGGCTTCAGGATGCCGTGTTTAGGTTTTCAGGGGTCCGCATTTGGAGCTTGCACTTTCAGGTTAAGGGCTTGCGGCCTGGTGTATCAGTGGCAACTCTTGCTTGGAGTATAACAAGTATGTGAATTGCGTGGGGCTGTAAGCACCCTCTTCCGCGCTTAGGGTCTAGGGTTTCACACTTGACAGCACGTGGGTAGAGGAAAGCTGAGAAGCTTCGTGAAGTCTATAAGTTCTAGATGCAGTTGTCCTGTGTATGTGTAAGCAGAGGTCTAAATACCCCCTGAACTAATATGGAAACCCGCAAAGGATCCTGGAAAGATTATTATCCTTTGAATCGGCAGCTAGATGAGCTATAGTCTAAACTCCTTAAAGTGGATTATGTAGGGGATTTTAAAAGGGAGTATTGCAGGGCTGTTTCAGGGGGATAGTAGGAGTTTAGACTATAGCTCAAAGGGGGTTCCATGTTACTTGGAGGAAGGTATGCGCCCCGGAACCTGAGGCATCCCTTGGGCGTATTTAGTTGTTTTTGATGGTGATAGCTTTGCGTGCGAGGTTGTAGCCTGTAGCTGTTGGGAATTTTGTCTACACCTTCACATCGGCGTCCCACAAAGAATCACTCCTTTTGAAAAGGGGCCTGTATGGGGTTGGATCTTTTGTTGGGGAGGCCTGCGGTGGCGCTGGAGAGGCCCTCAACCCTAAACCCTTAACAGAGCTCCGAGCGGACTCTCCCTGAACAAGCAGAGGCTTTTTCGGCTTTAGCAAGTGCAATTGAGGCTACAGTCCCCCCTGTAAGTAGATAGAATATGGGGTATATAGGGATCTTATTGTAATATACCCAGTTCCATATTCTATCTAGTTGGGGGGGCTATAAACCCTCCTTCATCCGCAAGTGCGGGATTTCCTCTGTATGCAGTTTTAGCCCCAACCTTAATCCCTAATCCCTAGCTCCCAACCCTTGATCCGCGGACCCTGAATCCTCAATCCTAAAAGCAGTAATCCCTGAAACTTGATCACTGAAGGCTAGTTACTCCCTAATCTCTCAACCCTAATCCCTACCCTAAACCCTAAACCCTAAACCCTAAACCCTAATCCCTACACCCGAAGGACCTTAATCCTCGATCTGCAAGGCTCTGGAACTGGCGAGGAAACTGCGCGAGCTTGCAGTCGTGGAGGCGACGGGCCCCTGCGAGATTACCATCCCCCCATCAGGGTTTAGGGTGTAGGGTTTAGGGTTTAGGGTTTAGGGTTTATAGGGTTTAGGGTTACCAACATGCACAACTTTTTCAAAGGACAGGAGGCTGCATAGGGCCCTTTCGCGTGTTCCACGCGGGGGGGAAGTTCTTGAAGTTAGGGTGCTACATTGTGTAATTTAACTACAGGGCTTTGGGGTGTAGGGTGAGAGGTGCAGGTGTATTATTTCGGGATTCATGGTCCTTGGTTTAGGCCAGGGCTTTGGGATCCAAAGGGGATTGAAGACGAAAGGGCGCCTGAGAACCCAGAGTCTTTCCGCGATTATTCTGGCCTTTGGTCAGCTGGGAATGATGGAATGGGAAAGGAAATGGAAACTACTTTATTGGGTTATACGGGGACCGCTATAAGAATCCTTTCCTTCATTCCTAGAAAACTAAAGGCCAGTATTTGGCTCAAGGCTTTGGATGCCTTGCCCCTGGAGTCTGTTCGGGTTTAGGGTTTGAGGGGGCTTCTCTGGGGCCCAGCAGGGTGGCAGCTTCGTATACGCCCATCATGGTACTTATATTCACTCCCCCACACCCCCCCAAGCACCAGTAGGGTTCTGCTTGGAGCTGGTCGGGGTTTGGGCTTGTGGAAGTAGAGGCCCGGCTCACGGTATGGACGCGCTTAAAAAGATTGGCGCACGAGACTTTTTGGGAGACTTGCGGATATAGATCCCATAGCAAAGTGTGAATCGATATCCCAATCCCTTTTGGAGTACAAGGTTTTAGCATGTGATGACAGGTACTCAAGACAGTACATGAGATGGGAGTAGTACTTTCCCAAAATAAGGGGACCCCAATATAGACTCCAATATATTATAATCCTTATTATTGGGACCCCCAACAAGGTACCCTAATTTTTCTAGTAATGACTTTGTCAGCACTGTTTTCAACTACACAGGCTCATTTTTGCCTCCTTGTTTGGCTGCCAGCCTTGCTGCCATTGCAACACCGTGCTGAAGCGTTTGCGAGGAAGCAGCCAACCCTCCTGTGCGAACCTGCGAGCAGGCTTTGATTTAGGGTGTTGGGTTTAGGGGTTTCGGGGTTAGGTGTTTAGGATTTAAGGTTTGGGGCTCAGCAGTTTCATGCTCCTCCCAGTGAGTTGTGGACCTCTAGGTTGAAGCTTGGATATCTTTTAGCCCTGGTCTTACTGGTTGTTAGCAGAGAATAAGGGGATATATAATCCCCATATCATACACTTCCCTTATTGCCAACTATTCCCAGTAAGTAGTATCATATATTCCCTTCTTCCCTACTATTCCGAGAAAGTAGTATGCTGCACTATACTGTGGACTCCGAAAGGATGGGATGGCAACTTGGAGTTCAGTCTGGTCTTCAGGTTCGTCAAAATTTGCAAATAATGCCAATTCAGGACATTCATCTTACTGGTTCTCAGTGAGGAATATGGAAATATGTGTGTATATACATATATATATATAAATATATAAATAAATATATATATATATATGTAAATGCAAGGCATTCATCTTAAGGGGTCTTAGTAGGGCATGTGGGAATATACTAAGACTTACTAAGAACCAGCAAGTCATCTTTCTGGTTCTCAGACCCCTAATATCGAGTTTTACAAGGTGGGGGGGGGGCAGTACCCAAGGCTTAGATGTGAGTTGCCCTGGTTTCAGGTGATCCCTGCTAGGGAGGTCCACCCTAAAGCCTAAACCCTACACCTTCAACCCTCAACGCTGAACCCGTGCGCTTCAAGCTTTAATTGGTTTTGCAGTCTGTTTCATGAGGACATCGATGCGGCAGGTGTTGCCGAGACATTGTTTGAGAGTCCTTCTTGGGGTTTCCCGGATTTAGGGGTCGACGTAATTATTGTGGAGGGGCTTCTATTTAGTCAACTGCCATCAAGTTATGATTGGACACGAAGTTTGGGCCAAGGGAATTAGTAGCCAGGGAGACCTTGCTAGCCTGTGATGGGACACTCGGCTTGCGTCTGCAATCCCTACGCCTTGCTCCTAACCTTAAGCCGTGAACCCTAAATCTAATGCCTTCACGTGAGTCACTGACTTTGTGGCCCCTTTAGGGATGGGATGGCGCTTGGGGCAGAAGGGGGGGAGTTGGAATAAGGTGCTTTTTGGTCATAAAGCATTGTACTTCCGGACATGATCTTGTAGATTCGTACCCTTTTCAGGGTGGAGCTGTTTTTTGGTTCAGGGTATCTTCCCTGCAAAATCCCAATATTGATATCCATAAGGAAGACCCAACTTCTGGACCCCGACGGGAGGCGTGCCAAACAGATCTGCACGCTGAGGACGCCTCTCTTTCGCAGCCTGAGGGGCCGTGTTTGGGGCTGGGGGTTGAGAGAAACTCAGGGCCCTGTAGGAATCTTCAGAAATACACTACAAATCTTAAGGGGTCCGATTTCTAGAACCCTAGCCCAGCCCAGTAGTGACGGGGTTGGGTTGTCATGGTTGAGGGCAGGGCTCACGCCAGCACGGTCGAGGGCTCTATTCTCATCTGCTGTGGTTTCCAGTGATAGCTCTGGACGGTGGCTCCCTGCGTTCCCTAGGTGAAGCGTCCGATTACCTTGAGAGGTTGCACCTTTGGCAAAGGCTGCGTCCACATTGCACTTGCTCAAAACTGCCACCTCGTAATCCATGTAGGTATTCCGGAGTCACCAGATTTCCCAGGCTCCCCAAGGCCCTAAGGTAGCCCCCATTTTCAGAAACTCCGTTTCTGCTTGGCCGCATGCTCAGGTTCTTCGCATGGAAGCTGTGCGCGAGCGCCTTTTGAAGCGCCGCCGCGTGCAAGAGGAGCAAGAGCAAGGCAGCACTGTGGCCCTGTGTCATCTGAGTCGTACTGTAGGGGCCTAAATAATCACGAATATTATGGGGGATAATGGAAAAGAGAATGGAATCTACTATAGTATATTGGGGATACATTCGGGGGTATATTGGGGTTATAGTAGATAATTACCAATATTATGGTTCCACATTCCTTGTAAAATTATAGTATATGGTATCTCAAACGGACTTCAAAATGATATGGGTAATTATTTAGGCCCCTGTAGTAGACATGGGTTGTGCAGGGGTGCTTGAGAATTTTACCGGCTTTCCTTTGAACTTGTCATGCAGGCATGTGGGAGGTCCTTTAAGTCAAGAATCTGCCTCCAGCCACGAGGATTCATTTTAAGAGTCCAGGTTTAGGGTTGACCGGTGGGAGACTTATTTACTATACCCCCAATATAGCCCGAATATAACCCCAATATACTATAGTAGATTCCATTTTCTTTTCCATCATCCCCTAAACCCTAAACCCTAAACCCCATACTATGGGTCTTCCAAAAAACTGGCGACCACCGCAGGCGGCCTCGCCGCGCGCGAGGCGCAGCTCGAGGTGAAGCGGAAAAAGGTGGAGAAGGCCTTTGGGGTTTAGGGGTTTAGGGTTTAGGGTTTAGGGGTTTGGGGTTTAGGGGTGTGGGCGTTTAGGGGTTTAGGGTTTAGGGGTTTAGGGTTTAGGGTCCAGGAGGCTCTTCGCTAGGTAGTACGGGCAAAGGGGATATATGGGGATATACAGGGTTTAGGGTGTTCAGGTTTTAGTGGTTAGGGTTTATGGTTTATAGGGTTTGGGGCTTAGTGTTTGCGCGAAGGGGAATAGGGGTTTGGGATTTAGAGGGCTTAGGATTTACGCAGGCTTGATCTAGGGATCAGTGTCACCATAATGGAGAATAACATGGAGCACCAGAATAGACAAGTTAATAGAAATGGGGTTATACAGGGCTTTAAGGGTTCCCCGATGTATATAGAACACTAGCTTTTCTGCTCTTTTCCTGGGTATGTTTGGCAGCAGTTTACCTACCTGGAGGTTCCAGAAAACAACATCTGGCTAAATTATGACGAGCTCACCCGAACTCACCGTAAATGATGGTTCCTACGGAAGATCATCCCAAAGTCGAGGGATCGTTTCTACTTCTTGGGGTATAGTTTGCCTCGTATGAGCTGTAGTCTAAACTCCTAGTATCCCCCTTAATATCCCTTATAGTAGTTCCCTATATAATCCCCTATATAACCCCCTTCAAGGAGTTTAGACTATGGCTCATATATACATAAAAAGGGTTGCAAACAGGACTTCTTAGGCGTCGGTGAATAGGGAAGGAGTTTTTTTGGGCTTGGGGTTGTAACACGCAGGGCTAGGGGCAAAGAGGGCCAGGCTTGAATTTCGTGTCAGGGAGAGAGAAGGCGGAGAAGACATTGTCGCTTCTGTTGTCTCATATATACCCTATTATACTATAGTTGTTTCCATTTTCTTTTCCATTATCCCAATACAACCCTAATATATAACCCCAATATGGTGACAGGCTTGATCAGCTCCGTAGAAGTTCGCTCGGGGAATTGTTTGCTTACTGCTAATGCACGGCCGGTCTGCTGCGATTAAGAGAGGGCCGTGCAATTTGAGCAAACATGTTTTTGCGGGGGCGTGCGCCCGCCGTTTGTGAGCAATACGAATGTAACAAACCTCCTGCTCTACTGGGGACAGATCTCGCCTTTTCCTTGAGCTTTGTGTTTACCTATCCTCATTTCGGCTTTAGGGTCTAGGGTTCAGGGAGTCATCGAACCCCAAACAATATAACCCTCAAACCTAAAACTTCGAACCCCAAACTTCGAACTTCCACCCCTACCCTGAATGCCGGTAGACGATGATTTTGCACAACCGTCCCCCATTTGGAGGTTATAGTAGCTCATTGTCTAGGGTAGCTTATTGGCTTTTGGGGAGAAAACCCTTCAACTCCAAAAACCCTAAGCCCTGAATCTCCCAACCCTTAACCCTAAACTCCAAACCCTGAATCTCCCAATTTCGTTATTCTTCCTTCAGGCCCGCGGCGAGTTGGCCGAGGCCCAGAAAGCACAGCAGGCGCGGCAGAAGCAGCAGGCCCAGGAGCACGAGGGGAGGGTTCAGGGAGGGTTTAG